TTTAAGAGTAGGCTTAAGACTTTCCTCTTTGATAAAGCTTATAGTTAGGGCTGGCTCAGGTAGTCCTGAACCATCCCTTAGTTATGCTGCTATAGGCCTAGACTGCCGGGGGATTTCCCATGATGCACTGAGCTCCTCTCTCCTCTACTTTCTTAATATTTTAAAAATTGAATTGAATTGAATTGAATTGCTCCAGAGGTGTGCGACCTCTGACACGTATAGAAATTGTAAGTTGTTTTGGATAAAACCGTCATCTAAATGAATAAATGTAAATATGGGAGAGGCTTTCTGGCAGAAGGTTTTAGTAAAATTCATAATTTTGATAATGTATAATGACAGATTATGTAGATTTTAGATATTTATGAAATTGGTGTCTGTGGCCAATAAATACAACTCATTTAGCTGATACAACCTATTAGTCAGGTGAAGTCACTTTATTTATATAGCACATTTAAAAACAACAGGCATTGACCCAAAGTTCTTCCCAAATACACAATAAACACAAATACAAGTATACATGAATAAAAAGAATAAAGAGTATATACCATTGTGTGACCCCAAATATCAATATTTCAATTTCACAGTCAAAGCTTTGCAGCGAAACAAGGATCATGCCATTTTGGAGATAATGGTGGCGCTCAACGTCTGATTTTACATAGAACTACCAGTTTTCTCCCAATAAGTTAATATAGAGCACATTACAATAAACATTCCAACGTTTAACATTGTAAATAAACATGTAAAAATAATAAAACTTTCAATAAATGTTTTTAAAGTGCGTAAATAAATCCAAAATTGTAACCCTAACCCTGGGTTATCAGTGCGCACGTGTAGGCGTAGCGTGTATGTAGTTGGAGAAGAGGAACACTTGCTGAAGAGACGGAGCCCCAGCTTCACTGGTGTTGTGCCGAGTTGTCCGCACCTCGCGGGACTTTCGGATAATTTATCACCGTTGATGAACCACACAAACAATATTTCATCGTTTTTAAATAGCCGGCTACTTGAATTGGACGCGAGGAACCGCGACGTGCATGCAGTTGTCGGCAGCGTGGCATGCACGCAAAACTCTGCACAAGACCGGAGAATGCCAGGCGAGAGAGAGAGAGAAAAGGGGCTTCACAAAGCCTCAGTTTAGCTGGAAATTTACAGTGTAAGTTGAATGAATAGAGATTGCAGCTCTGCAGCTTCTCAAGATTAAAGCAGAGCTACCGTGTGTAAGTATTGCGGTGCGGAGCTAAAGCATAAAGTAAATTAAAATACAATTTTAAAATCAATTCTGTACTTCACCAGTAACCAAAGTGAACCAAGACCGAAGTAACGCGTTGTCTATTCTTTGTTTCAGTAAAAATTCTAGTGGCTGCATGTTGAACCATTTGTAGTCGAGAAAGTGTGGAATGGGTCAAACCAATGTAAAGGGAATATAGTGGTCCAGCCGCAAGGTGATAAATGCATGTGTAACTGTTCCACATCCTTATGAGATATATGTCTTCAATTTGGCTATGGTTCAAAGCTGATAGAACCTACCCTTCACGACACTACTAACTTGCTTGTTAAAATTCAAATAGGTGTCCAAGAAAAAAACTAGATTTTTAATTACAATATTCAAATTTGTAGTCAGTGGACCAAGCAGATTACTTAAGCTTGTGACAGAGCTCGGAGGGCAAAATAGAATTACCTTAGTTTTGTTTTCATTAAGTTGAAGGAAGTTCCTTAACATCCAGCCTTTGATATCATTCAGACAGTGTGGTCTTTAGAGAGTGGATGCTTTCAGGTGTAACTAGCATGTAATACTGTATGTCATCCACATAACAGTGATACAAAATATTGTACTTCTCAAAAATAGTGCCAGGGGGAAGCATGTATAGCGTGAATAGGAGTGGGCATAAAATTGAGCCTTGAAGGATGACACATATAATAGCAGCAGGTGAACAATTTATTATTTTAACAGTACATTTTTGTCCTCTCAGGTAAAAAGTAATTTTGTGTTGCAAACTTCCTTGAATAAGCGTGATGGAATAATGTCTAAGGGAAAGCAGTTGGGATTCATTTGCATGACCACCTCCAAGAGCTGGTAAAAAAGCACAGATTGAAACTGCTGGAGGCAGCTGGATGGGTGATTTGTCTCTAAGGGGACAGAGCCTAAGCGTACAATGTGAAATCTTATGTTGTCAGTTTTGTCGATGAAGAAGTTCCTAAACTTCTCACATGTTTTGGTAGAAGGAGCAGCAGTAGCAGCGGTGGTAGTGATAGCAGCAGCAGCAGCAGCTGGGTTTAGGAAAGAGTTGAACAGTAGTGTTGAACAGTATTTTAGGTCTATGAACATTGTTGTTAATTAGTTCAACATAATATTGTACCTTAGGGAATGGGACTGGGAAGGGTGGGAAGGGACAAGGTAAAGTGGAATTGAACACAACCATGAGATGGTCAGAGCCACCAGCATCAATAATTTCAAGGTTGGAGACAGAAAAACCGGATGAAAATAAAAGATCTAGTGTGTGACCCTTCTGGTGAGCTGAACCCAATACAGATTGAGTCAGACCATAAGAATCTATGTGGCATCAGAATTCGTTGACCATAGGTTTTGATGGGCAACAGATATGAATATTAAAATCCCCTACGATCAGCAGTTTGTCAGAGCCGGAAGCCATAAATGTCAAAAGATCAGAAAACTTCTGGATAATAATATTCCTGTTGAATGTTGGGAAAGAAGACAGAAGTCTGGTTGTGGTTATGACACCAGGCAGATAGTGTGATGGTGTTGGCCATATGGATATTCCTCACTGTAGAATCTCCATGTATCAGCGATGTTGGGTCAAAGAAATGGGGCACAGCTGAAGGTCGGGAAGAGTGCTGTATTTCTGCAGCCGCATGTTGAGTGGTGGTAGCTGGAGACTTCCGCAGCGGAGGAGCAGCAGCCATCTTAGCAGAGGGATCTACAGCCATCCCTGGACTAGTGGGCCACCTGGGCTTCTCCTGATCATGACTTCTCTCAGTAATCTGCGTCACTTGGGCGTTGGGGGGTGGGAGTGGCACTTTCTTGCAAAAACATTCATTGCGTGTATCCTTGAGGCATAACAAATATGTTGAATGCATTTCCATCCTCAATAATCCTCATTTGCAAAGCCACTTCAATATTTAATCAACATTTTTTCACAATCTATAAACCTAATTGGGACCCATTTAATTAGCACCACTCAACAGAGTGCCTTAAATAAAAAAGATTCTAATCAACACACAGATGGGTTTTTTTGATAGTGAGATTAAAAACAGTAAATCATCAGCATGATCACGCAGCCACTGTTTGAAAGTGTATAGATAATCAAAGCCTTGAAGTGCAACTAATAAGTATGCTGATTCTGTTTAGAAAGATCTACATTTAAGACTTACAGTTACATTACATTGATATAAATGTAGAGAATATAGGCAGAAGAATAATCAGTATTAAATATCACATTACGCAGTTATTGAATATGCTACCAATCATGATAATAATTAATGGTCTTTTTTATTGCTAACAAACGCTCTGTTAACAATAAAAGACCATTACTTATTATCATGGTAAAACACTGTCAAATAAATTATATACTGTCTTATTTATATTGGCCAGTGGTCTCCTTTTCCTCTTTTATTGGTGCTTTGTTGAAAGATTCTGCACCTTGAGTAGTCAAAGACACTGGGTACTTTTAAATATATATATATTTTTTAACCTTTATTTTGTCAGGGGAGCTTAACTGAGAGGAAGCCTCTCTTTTGCAGGGAGACCCTGATCACATTTACATTGTTACACATTCACACATGGAAGCTGCCCAGTACAACCACAGTTAGATCTGCTGACCACTGGAGCAGTTGGGGTTAAGGGCCTTGCTCAAGGGCACCTCAAAGGTAGTAAATGAGGGCAAGTGCTGCACCCAGATTTATCCTGCCAGTCTGGCGATTGAAACTCACGGTCACAAGTTCGTTTCTCTAACCTTTAGGCCACCACACCAATCACACATCGCCTTGGCTGTAAGACTGCATTACCAATAATAATAAATGGAGGCCAAAAGAGCCAGAGAAATGGGGCCTGGTTGTGTGTACACTTGATAAAACTACAGAAAACAGATTTAGATTTTAGTTAAAGTGGTCATATCATAATTTTATTTAGGGGTTGTACCAGAAGAGGTTTACATGGTTTCATTTTCCAAAAAACATATTTTTGTCAAACTGCACATTGCTGCAGCTCCTCTTTTCACCCTCTTTGAACACTTCGTTTTAGCTACAGAGTGAGGAATCTTACTTGTATAAAATCTTTTTTGGGAGTTGCACATGTTCCAAGGTAAGGACTACTAGACAATCAGAAGCAGAGTAGGGCGGTCTGTGAGAAGCCGTTTATGTTTATGTTCCCAAACCAGCTTAGCAACATGGACTGGAGAAAGAGTTTCAAAGTGGTGAGTTATTGATCTGTAACAAAAGTGTCTTTCATCAATAAAGTTATAACTGAGCTCTGTCTCTACATCACAGTAACAACTTTATGTCCATTGACTGCCTGGAGGGTAGCTAGTGTTTGGAAGGGAGAGGAGAGGCAGCAGGCAGGCGTCTTGTCACTGTGTGCTGCAGCCCAGTGTGTTTTTCTACCAGTGTTTTTGATGGCGTGTCAGTGGCTAGGCGAGCATTATGATGCGCATTTTGCTGTGACGTCACAGCAAGGCGGAAGAAAGGGCTGGACTACAAACGAGCTGCTTTCAGGCAGTTCAGAGCAGAGTTTTCTGTGGGGGATGGGAACTCCCTTTGGGGTGGACTTTGGACTTTTTCACCCTGCAAACCTATTACATGCACAAAAAAGGTATATTACTCAATAAAGGAGAGGGGAAAAAGACAAAAAGCATAATTTGACCTCTTTAAGTACGTGTTTTTTTAACAAATTGATCCATTTATAAGGATACGTCTTAATTTGCTGTGGAATAAATCCTCAAGTCCTTAAGTTGTGGATATTTTTGTGTGTGTGTGTGTGTGTGTGTCAGCCTTCCAGAGGTTGTTGGGGAAGAAGGATGTGTCCCAGGAACTGGAAGAGGTCCACGCGGAGGCTCGAGCTCAGGACAACCTACAAACCGCTTCTGTCTTACAGCTGCTGGAGAACAAAGCTGTTCGCTGGCAGCTCATCACCGTTATCATCACCATGGCGTGCTATCAGCTCTGTGGCCTCAATGCTGTAAGATGCAGCTCATATTTCATTTTGTTTTCAGATTGTCAGTGGAATCCTTTCCTTTATGCTATTTTATAGTGAATTATATATTAAGGACACAATATTATTATTTTATGTAGTATTTATTTGAATTAAAAGTAAAACAGATGAGATTCAGCTGAAAGGAATAGATAATGAAAAATTCTGGTAAAGATTTGATTAGAAATAAAACTTCTTTCAACACCATTTGCATGGCAAACATTCTGTATATCACCCAGATTCAAGGAAGGTTAAATCAAGGGTACCTGGACTTGGTTGAAGATCCCCTAACCCAAATCCAGTTGCCCTTGATTTAACCTTCCTCAGACAACTTTGACCTGGATGACTGAGAATATTCACAGATAAATCAGCCAGAGACTTGCTTGAAGATGTTCTGTCACACCTCCAGTCACATCTTCAGTCACACCTCAGCTTTGTCTATCAGTTTTGGTCCTTGGTGGACACAAGTGCCAGTAGCAGGAATGTGAAGAGTGTTTCTTATTGTACTCGAGAGACTCAGACACGAGAAAGAGCCATTCTGCTTTCTTCTTTCCAGATAACACTGCATTATAGTTTTAGGAAGTGCTCTTCACTATGAGCAAACCCTTTCACTTCAACATAGTAATTTGATCAATATAAAAATATTGTTTGTACAGCTTTAAATGTACAATGGCCAGAAAAATTAGGATAAAACGTTAAAAAAGTACTATTCTTATCAACAGAATGTGAAGAAGTAACCCTTCTGACGTCATGTTAAAGATGTCTATGTATCATTTTGCAGAGATATCTACCGAAATTAGCATGCTTGCCCCACCCTGTCCTGTGCTGTAATACCACTTGCACCAGTAGTCACTGTAGTGTACAGTCTACCTTCAGACTAAGTTAAAGGTAACTTACAGGCCCCTGTTAAAGACTAGGAATTCTAAATTCCAATACAGGTTCACCCTTGCACTGGAGCTGTAGTTTTTGTCAAGTCAAACACAACACTTCCTTTTGCTGCTCCACAAGACTTTTATTGAGCTGAGAAAAGCTGCTGCTTCCTGTAGCCTTAGTTATCCTGACACATGACAGCTAACTCTCCAGTTCATAAAAATTAATACATAAAGACATGGACATTTAAAAGATTTTTGTGAGCTGATAAGATTTAAAAATGTCAGTATATGCAAAAGCATTTCTATCTCTCCCACTTAGTTTAACAATAACCAGGCATTACATTACAGGAAATGGCCCTTAACTCCAGAAAGGCTTGGGTGTGCTGTCCTTTCACAGTCCTATCAGTGACAGTGAAAAAATCAATAGCGTCACAGCCTTATTTGTCAGTGGTGTAGGCTTAGTAGAACATTGCAAACACTGTTGTGTACTTTTCTACAACTATTCTTGCATCTGCCTTAAAAATAAAAGTTTAAAAACTGTAAAGTTGAAATAGGAGTTCTTAAATAGCCAGTTTCTTGCCCCAGTTACAGTGGATCAGTCTCTCTTAAGGGTTGTTCTCAGTACTGCTGTGTATGAGAGCCCGTGGGCATGGAGAAATCACTGTAAGTTACTCTGTTCTGTGCACTTTGTTGACAGGAAGAGATGTTTAACCATCCTCCTCCTGCTGTGTCGCAGTGTACTTGGTGTGTGGTAATGACTGTTGTCCAATTATGGGACCTACTCTCAGTCTTGAGCATAGAGATGCCAAGAATACCCCTGCATGAGGACAAAAGTTGCTGCTCTTCGCTGCCATCCACCACCTAAAATAAAGAGAATGTCAACACTGAACCAAGAAAAACTGACTTTAGATTATGTGTAAGTCCATCACCATGAGGAATAATGCAAAAGACAGCAATGTCAATGATTGGCAAAGAAACGTCTCCAAATTCATATTCAGGGTGAATATCAAATCAATATCAATATGCTAAAAAATTTTATGTTTGATAGATTCATGGACGTTTCAGTAATATAATGCAAAGCTAGAAATCACAAAGCTCATCTGAATTACCATGAATGTGACTTCATTTCCATACATTTTCATTCCAGGAAGACAGGAATGTCATTTAGATCACTACGGAGGTCTTTCTTGTGAATGTCGTATAATATTCACTACCTCGTCGCCATCAAATCCATCAAATGAGTATGAGAATGACTTGGTAATGTTACAAAGGTTTATTGTGCTGCAATGAAACTGTATGCTGATGCTATGTTGACAGCTGAGAAATATACCAGCAGCCAGTGTCACAGTATCAATGCTTCAGCTTGTCAAAATTCACAATTTCTGACAATTGCCGACATGTTTTTTGTTCTCGTTGTTACCTGTCAAATGGGCCACTGGAGAGATTAGTGCAGGCCATAGATTAGAGGAGAGAATGCAGAGAAAAATATGCAAGAGAATGTTCCACCTAAGCAGCAGGGTAACAGCAACAGGAACTTTTCCAACTCACGAGTCTACTTTGATTTTCAGAATCTTGAATTCAAAGAGGTCATCATTTGTGTTTTAGAGATGTACATATATATATATATATATATATATATGATCTTCATGTAGATTTTTGTCTACACCATATGAAAGTCCACTAAAATTAGATTTCCTTTTTCATAGATCTGGTACTACACCAATGGGATCCTTCGGGAAGCAGGCTTTGCTGAGAACATTATCCCCTACATCACACTGACCACCGGGGGCATAGAGACTTTGGCTGCTATCATCTCGGTGAGTATTGCTCGAAGCATGGTACGTTTTTTTTTTATTTCAGGGGTGGTCTTTCACTTTTATCTTTAGTGAAAATCCTCTCCAATCTCTCCAATATTACCTTTTAATATCAAAGCTGTCAGACGTTTGACTGTCAGTCTCTTTTTAATATTGGACAATTGTCTGTTTTGTAAGTTAAACAGATCTGAAGGATAGCAACATCTACTCTATGCACGTATGTGCCCAGTTTGTCTTAATACACAATTGACTAAAGTGACAACACAAAGCACCTTTAAAGAATGGAATGTAAATCTGTACCAGTGGCAGTTCATTATTGCATTAAAGATTTCTTTACAGCCCAGTATTTACAATGTATTTTACATGAGTTTTGATTAGTCTCTCAAAGATTTCCCAAGTGGGCCTCATGAAAGAATTTGCAGAAAAAGAATTGGTAGCATGTTTCTCCACCATGAAATTATTATGTAGACAAACTGTATATAGACAGTAACTGACACTGACATACCAAAGTAAAAAGCAAGAGTGTGGTGGTTGTGGTATATGTACATTATCTCCTACAGTAAATACTGTACAGTACACAGAAAGACTGTAGAACTTTTAATCAAACAAAACAAAATTTTAGCTGCCCAGCCTTAATTCAAATGCTCTTGACCAAAGCTCTGTTATCTTTGGTCAGTGTGGAGGAGCAAGCTGCTCAAACATTGTCAGCTCAGTTGCTGGGAAAAGGCATGGCAGGAGTACATTCCCACTCTGGCAGCAGATCTATCACTAAATGAGCAGAGAGTACTTTGCTTCAACTCAGAGTAAGTCATTGGCAGCTTGTTAGGCAGGCTTGTTACTATTTATCGCCATCACATTTTGTGTTCCAAATAAACTACTGTAATTGACTTGTATTCCTGGAAGGCAAAGGAAAAGGGAAAAGGAGTTGACAGTTAGCTGTATTCATTTTTATTCCTCTTGCTGACCTACTGATGACAGTAGACTATGTTATTGATCCACAATACACTGAATGAGATAGAACTGTGCAGGCTGTGCTATCCACTCACACAATAAGTATATTGCCAGAATAGACGAATACGTATTTTTTTCAGGAATGTTTCTTGCATTTTGAAGAATATACTGTTGGTACAATTGAAGTTCCTAGGCTATGTTCCTCTCCCAAAAATGCAGATTCCACCCAGGGTCTGTATACTTGGACTTAACATTGTTAAAGTTTGCTGACTGCTCATACACAAGCCTCACAACTGGTACAACTTGTGTACAGCGTTCATTAGATTGCAATATTAGTGTAAGGTTGGGAATGTCCTTAAATACCATTGATTAATTTACACTGATGTTGCTGTCGTCATGACCGGTCTAAATTAGCTAAATGAAGAATGGGAAATGGCAAGCACCAAAATGGTTAAACCTACATTAATAAGCAACTCACATTGTAAACACAACATTGACCTTATGAAGCTGATATCGCTAATTTCTTAGAAAACAGTTGCCTATTTACACATCCAGCAGACATGGAGCAACAGCATTCATTTCGAGTCGTGTTTCAGGAAACCTGACAAATGTAAGTCAACATTCACTCTCCTTTTAGGTCTGTTTTTGGTTTCGAAGATAAAGGTTCGTTATAAAGTAACCAAATGTTTGATGTTTAAGTAACAGTTTGCTATTGATTCATGATTGTATCCTAATTTAGATTAGGTTAGTATCTTGTTTTGAGTAGCTTTTGAGAAATCAATTCCATTCATGGTCGACAGTAACGGCAGGGGATCAGTTTTTTTTTTCAGTATTTGAAAATGTACACCTCAAAGTCGTTCTTTTGCTAGCCAGAACAAGATTGGAACATGGAGAGATGGTAGCCTTTGAGGAGAAACATGAGTGAGAAAAAAGGCAGACATAGAAGAGAAGAGGTAAGGGAGTCACTGCTGTAAGCTTGTAGCCTACGCTGCAGTCCTGAAACACTCACAAACATCGTTTGTAGTACAATTTTCATCATTGAAATATTGAACTGATTCCTTGCAGCTACCTATTACTTCTCACGAAACACAAAACAGCCCCCATTCCACACTTCGACTTGACGAGAAGTTGTGAGCTACAACAAACACGAGTGGTGGAAAGGTTGACAACCTGCTGTTTAATGACATTGCAGTGCTGAAATGCTTTATTATAATTTTTATTGTGCACAACTGATGAAAACATATGCTGAAAGTAGCAAGTTAACGTTAACTGTGAGGGCTGCATCTTGGGTCAAATAGTATAACATTACATAAACTGGTAAACAATTTATCCTAGGCTACTAAAATGAACACCAAAACTGAACCACAAGTGTTAAGAATTGTAGCAATTTATGCTAAAAATCGATGAAAACCTACACGTTTGTCACCTTGGCCTTCTTCTTCGGGACTGGATCGATTTTCTGTTCTGTCCGCGCAAATAACTGAATAGGTACCAATCAGAGGCTGCGTTTTTATGACGTTATAACATAGGCTCCTCACAAGGTATTTTACAGTATTTTTAAACTGCAAAATACAAAACAAGCATTTTGATACATTTTCAGCAACTATGTCAAATGGCCTTTTATTGTGGCCAGCCTAAGGCACACCTGTGCAATACCCATGCTGTCTGATCAGCATCTTGATATGCCACTGATTGTTGAGAATTTCAATAAAACAGGTTTTAATTTTGAAAATAAATAAAATAAGAAATCTAAACTTATGTGTTTATCGTACAAGATGTCACCAATCTAGCAATATTTTGGTGCAACCTCCTGTAATTTTTTCATAAAATATCTGTTTTGCCTGTCTTTACTACTAGTTTTTGTCAACACCGTCAGACACAATAAAAGTCCAGTTAATCTTATTTGTTTAGTCTTATAATGATTTTGAGCTTTAAAATCATTGTGTTTACACCATAGGTACATATATATATGCTATTAAATGTCAAATGTGAACTTTTGTTCATTTTTTATACTATTTCACATGTGCTCTTTTAAAAATGTATACATCTTGCAACATTCATCATTAGCATTAAGAATACAAAATAACAATTTAGGGCATAAAAAATACATTTTTAATTTCAAAGTGACCATGAATTTAATTAATCAACAGCACTGAAGGAACAGATTGTAACCATATAAATTTAAAACATAGAAAGATCCATCTGACGGTGGTGACACAGAGCTGATGGTGGTGGTAGTAGCCTAAAAATTAGTCCTTTTCTTTATTTAATTAAATTGTATGTGAGCCCAAACTTTTTTGTCTGGTGTATTAGGAGAGATTTCTTAAGAAGAATTTATATTTTTAGACATTGGGGATACATATAGTAAGAAAATACTGTATAACTACAATATGTGTTGAAGAAACAAAAGGGAAATGATATATATTACAAATAGAGGTCAATGAAACGTTACAAGCAATGTTTCTATTTATTATGATCATAAATAGTATTTAAGCCTCCTTTGAGGATGATTTAGAAGTTTTTGTCAACACCCTCAAACTATGTTACCACCATCTGACATAACACCTGATGGTGTTGACGTCTGACGGTGGTGACAAAAACACACTTATTAACATGACATGCACGAGTGGTATCTTTCTATATAACTTTGACACATTATGGTTGTGACATTAGTAACATTAGTAAATATGTTAACAAAACATATTTAAAAAATTGCAAATTACAGAAGCTTGTTTGACCATTGCATTTAGTACATGTGGAGGGTGGAAAGGTGGTTCTCGGGAATATAGTTGACCATGTACTTGCCTGATTTTATTGCTTTAATGAATATCTGACGGTGTTGACAAAAACTTGGGACACATTTTGAGCAATCAAAAAATAAGAGTAAATATTGTTGAAAATTCACTGCTTTTAGGTTTAAAGAGTTTTTTCACATTACTCTTTCAACTGGCCTATATAATATACATTTAAAATATTTTTTCCTCTTTTTTTATCAAATTGAAATGAAATCTGTTCTCTTGTTTGAGGACAATGGATTTTGTGGGTACTGGGTTGTCAAAAAATCATACTATTATTTATCATTTTTAAAACAACTATATGAAAATAGACTAAATTTGTGCAGAAGACCCTCAGACGATCAACCCTGATTGTTTTAAATAAGAAAAGTTTTTCAATGGAATTAGCAGTTTTCTTAGTGGGACATGTTTTTGCCAAAATCTCAAGAATCAGTGATGCCACACCTATGAGGTGGAAAGGAGAAGTGCTCACTAACACAGATTTTGAAATAGGCCTTTTGTGTACATAGAGAAAGTAGAGATCTTTGAGCTCATGATGAGTGGGGGCAAAAACAAAAGTGTTTATTATTTAGTTCAGTGTATGTATTTTAAATACATGCATTATAAATAGTGCCTGTCTCTGACTACACTTTATTTTCCCTAAAACCAAACTCTGGGGCTCTTTAGTTCCTTTTGGTCAAAAAGGATTGGCAGTTTAATAACACATATATGCATCAGGATGAATTTCTGTGCATTGCATGTTACTTTTCAATCAAGAACATAGTACAAAATGCAATGAAAAATGCACTCTGCCATCTCTGTTCATTTAACGAGTGTGTTAATGCCCCTTTTCTGGTTCCTCTCAGCACGAGCACATTAAAACTGATCTTTGATCTACGGAAGTGAGAAGACCCCACTGAGTGACTTAGCTGCCAGGTGACTGACTTCAAACACCAGCATGTACCCTTCAGATAACAGTTTCCCCTCCAGCCGTACTCCATCTCCCCATCAGCCACAGCCAACTCAACCCCAACCTCCTTTGATGAGCATCACTGTTCTTATATTGCTGACAATAATCATCCACTGGCTGTTGGAGTAGTGTACACAAAGACGCAAAGTGATCAAAAATAAACTGACATATCCATTGGTTGTAAAACTGAATGTGTTTATTAATCTACAAATTATTTCAGTGTAGTATGACAGATGCCGTGTGGCTTATAAGCCCTGCTTTATTTGATTTTTGCTTATTTTTGTTCATGGTGACCTTTTTTATGTAGCAAACACGATGCTATTACCATAAAATGCTAGATGTCCATAAAGCTTTGCTTTATAACAGTATCGCAGCCGCTTGGTTTCAGGAGCTTCAAATATTTATGATATTAAAAGGCCATACCTGGCTTTAAAATGTGACTTCTTTTCATTTAGGTGGCAAACATTTCAAACTTGATGTTTAATCCCCTGTGACTGAATGTGACAAATTTAATACAGCAGACCATGCACTTAGTTGGAGCTCTAACCTTACTACATTTGTTGTCTTTACACCACAGTGACCACACAGAGCTGTGTAACATGATCACACAAAACAAAATAAGCTGAATATCTGACAGGCTCTAATGCAAAGAAACTGTCCTTAATAACAGGTCTTTACGATAATTGGTCGAACATTTACAGTGTAATTCAGTAATCACCAACCCAAACTGTAACGCCATTGAACCGTTCATGCAGACAATTGTTGTCCTCAGACCAGGAAAGCCAAATGTGTTATCTCCTCCCAAGCAAATTTAACACCTTCTGTCTTCAGCAGCTTATTAAGGGAATGTTTTAGTTGCTTGTGGCAATGTTGCACCTCCAATACAAGGACGTCTTGTTGCATGTCACTTGTACTGTAGGTTGAACCGTACCGCTTCTCTTCACTATCAAAAGACTATGGCTATACTATGTTCTTAATGGTTCCTATCACTCTAACAAAGCACGCTGGGATAGGCTTCAACGACACAAAAGGAAATAAGTGGGTGTAGAAAATATACAATATGGATGGATAAATGTGAAAGCAGTAAGCCTGCAACCACAGATCCAGACCCCACAGAATTACCTGCAAAAAGGCAGAATTACCTGCAGAAAGTGATCGAAGGAGAGAGGAGAGGTATGAGAAAGCACAAAAGTTTGGGAGATTTAAGAGTTGAGTTAGTGACATCCATTAATAGGATAAGATAAGATGGAGAAGGGGAGGAGGAGAGAGCAACTCAGTGCATCATGTGAAGTCTCCTGGCAGTCTAATCCTGAAGCAGCATAACTAAGGGATGGTTCAGGACTCACTTGAGCCAACCCTAACTATAAACTTTATCAAAGAGGAAAGTCTTAGCCCTACTCGTAGATATGGAAATAGTGTCTGCCTCCTGAACCCAAACTCGGACCTGATTACACAAGAGAGGAGCTTGATAGCTCATTCTGGGAGTGCAGTGTTCTAGTAGTGTAATCAGGTATTAATAGCTTTTTAAGATTTGATGTTGCATGACCATTAAGGGCACTGTGTTATGGTAGTATGAAGTACAGAGTTTTGCCAACATGCACTGACTCTGTGTGTTTGCACAGTCCCTGGTGATTGTATGGGACAGTTTTTGACAAACTGATTTTAAAACTTACTACAAACTCCACTCTTTATTATTCCTTCAGGCCCTCTCCTTTGGTGCTCCCATCTCTTTAATTTTAACTTTTATTAATAGGTTGACGTCATGCAACTCCAGATGACAATGAATTTTCTCTTGGTGTTAATTACAAATCGAGCATCTTTACCACAATTTGCACTGCCTGGAGTGAAATTTTATCCTTTCTTGTCCCTTTGCATCTGTTCATATCTTTCTATTCGCTTTGTGTGCATTCATTCTGCCTTAGAATTTTGCATCTTATTAAATTTGAATGCATCATTAAGCATCAACCAAATACTTTTTTATTCTGCCTTTTAAGTTCTGTTTAACTTATTCATTCTTTTATATATTCTCTTTTGTTGCTCAGTATATTCTGACCTAACACTACTAATATAACATTTTTGTCAAAACACACACAAGAAAACCCTGTATGATTATAGTATGATACTTAATGCAAAATGCTACCCCCTGGGCTCCTGCCCCTTTTCTAGTGCCCTACTGAGCCATCGCCCTTTCACTTCGGCACACTTGTCACTATACGGCTGGCTAACACACAAGAGCTGTGGAGTGTGTGCCATACCACATTAAATCACACACATCCTGCCGTGTCGTCACACTCTGTAGCCCTTTAGCAAGTTAAAGTCTAAACACAAACTAAAATCGAATACAAAAACTGACCTTATGGTAGCAAAGAGGCATTTCATGACAGTTATAGTCCATCTAGCTAACGTATATTCTCACGCTTTAAAATTATTATTCATCATTTTGTAGATGCCAAGTGTCAGATGTAGACTGATAGACGAGAGAGAGAGAGAGCGAGATTTGGGTAAAAACTAAACTAATTATCTGCAAATGACTTCTTCTGCAGGCAGGAAAACAAGCTCTGGTATCTTCAGCTATGCTTACTGACTACAGACACGAGCAGGAATAATGCAAAGCAGAGCGGCAGGGTTGGCAAAGTCTAAGAAGCAAACATATCAATATTCTCCTTTAATAACTTTGTCCCATGAGGTAATATGTGCGTAGATTGTCACCAGTGTGAAAACAATCAAAGTGTCACTGTCAGTGTGTGTGTTATGTGACAGATTCCCTCATTTAAAGCCTGTCTCCCAAGGGATGGTGGAGAGATTGCGGCACATGTGAAGGGCCAGTGGTGCCTTAAGCTGTGGCCAGTTGATGTTAATGGTTCATCTACTTCTTGATGTGATGAATAATGTCCAGACCTTTTAGTCCTGCCAACTGTGAGGGCTGAAGTCACAAGTCTGACCTCTGTCAAGTCTGCAGAGAAGGCGATACTGGGTTGCATTTATTATTGTGCAAGAGCGCACATGTATTCCAGTTTCATCAGTTCATAGTGTTATTTATGAGTATAAAGTGGACAAGAACACACAAAAAAACAGATTTTTATCGCATTTTGTAGTTGCAAGTCATTAGGACGATTTATTTTTTGTCAGAAGGTAGTATAACTTACTCACAGTAGTGTTATTGATACATAGACATTAGCTGAATATTTTAGTACTGTAATAAGACATATTTTAGCCACCCCTTGGGTTGCTAGTCAAAACACATGGAATCACTGTATTTGGACATATTGTCATGAAACAGTGTCTGTTTCAAACACACATTTAAGCCAAGGGGTGAGTGTATGACAAGGTAAAAGGTAGGGGTGTGACAAGATCTCGTGCCACAACTGATGCGACACCGGCCGTGATAGTAATTAAGTGAACAGTGCAATATAAACAACTAAAAACTGAAGCACAACCTTGCTCAGTTTGGGATTGTGAGCTGCACGTTATCGGAGGTGCTGAAGTTAACATGTGTGGATATGTGGTGAGATTTCTGCCTGAACTGTCTGAAGGGGATAACGTTACTACCAGCGGAGCAATAACGTAATGTGCGTCAGAGTATAGGCCAGGTAGACTTATATTATGAATTCTTATTAAATGATTTTTCTCGTAATATAATTTTTTTTTGTGTCAGAGAACACAGCTATGTGGGAGAGATTTTGAATGTGCAGAAAGTTTTGAACATGGGAGAGGGGGGATTCACTGACCATTCATAGGCAACTATGGGCGTTCAAAGGGCCAGACATGGCGCTCCTTCACATGCGCCACATTTCACAAGTTGATTGTGATTTATAAAGGGAACTTGCTTTTTGCTTTTTTTGTGCGTACGCATGGTTTTATAAGTCTAAAATATTTTTTAGCGTATACCATTTTTGACTTTTGGGCGCACGTACACTGAGGTTTCTACGCACAGTTTTATAAATGAGACCCCAGGATTTTATAACTGAATTAAAATGAATGAATGGATCATTGAGGTGAAAAGGTGCCACATGCACATTTAAAGAAGTAACTTCCTCAAACAAAAGAAACAAAAGAGGAATAAAGTCTAAATCACGCCTGCAGGGAAGATATTGCAAAAGGTGATCTCCAGGAGAAACATATCTGAAAGCAACACAGAATGCCTGAGAGCCTTACTACATTGTATTCTGTTATAGTTTTAGATTTTGAATTGTCACATGCCGCTTGAAATTTGTTTCCCTTTGTTAAACTAAAAACATTTCTACCATAAATTGGTGAAGAATAGCGTTAAAATCTTGTCTTGTCTTGTTCTCATGAACCTAATATCGTGTCTTGTCTCGTGAGTTCAGTGTGTCGTCACACCCCTAATAGGTAACTGACAGCCTTCAGACACAGAGTCATGAACACCTGAATGAAAGAATCAAGAGTTCCCCATAACGCATACATTTTTTTCTGGTCTCTCAGGTCTCATCTCTTTTTGGATATAATATACACATTCCTGCAGTCGAGAGACACTCTTCTGTCCCCGCTGTTTATCATACAGGCTCATTCTCCAGATACACACGCACGAGCAGGCTCATAAATATTCAGCCTCTTACACCTTTGGAGACTTTAAAGAGCTGTGGCTTTAGCGGTTGTTGGTGTGTTTGTATGCGTATGTGGCTGCAGTGTGGGCAGCGTCTGAAAGAGAAATGGATGTGCAGGCACACACGCATATACACAGAGTAATTTCAAATTCTTTCGGAGGCAAGTCAAATGACAGCAGATCCGTTCTGGGTCATAACCCCTAAATGGAAGTATCTTGATCCAGTTTCCTTGTGGTGAAGCTGCCCAGCACCTTTAAAATACACCTCATGTTATCTTTTCCACCCTTCTCCACTCTGTGACTACCAGTGACCTTTTCCCACAATCACATGAAATCCCGCTGGTTTGGTGAGTTGGTGTCTTGAATACTTTCATGTTATGAGGCCATGACAGAAGAAGTCCTGCAGCTCTGGTGAGGTCTTTGCTTTGGGCTCAGTCTGGGCTTGAAGGTGGCATATCATGTCTCACGCTGCATCCATGACCCTAGTAGAAAGACATCTTGATGGAGAGTGAAATGTGCATGTGGAATTATTGATGAGCCACATGCAGTACTGTGGATGAGGAAATATTTATGTGTATTTCACTGTATGTGTAAAATATGATGCATTATGTATAGGGCATTCTCCACCACCAACTCTTAGTAGAATTTACTGTGTTGGTGGGGGCACGTAGCTTCAGGTGCCGGTGAGACATTGAAATATGATCCTGGAAGTCCATTGAGATAAACCGATGAATGCATTTATTAGATGCCAAAACAATATATGTAATACAGACAGGATTTTACAACTCAACAAAATATGACAAATGTGATAAAACACCAATGAAGCTAATATGGTTAATGGGATGAGGTAAAATAGGTAGTAATAGATAGGAATTGATTGATACAGCAGCCGACTCACAACTCTCTTGTCTTTATTATTTAAATACTTTTTCTAAGATTAATTAATGTTGTGATTATGTTTATTGTTATATAATTTAACCCTTTGAAGTGTTTGTTTTGTTTCTCCACTGTCCTATTTTAGCTCCTATCTATTTAACTCCATACATTTAATTATCTCTACAATAAGAGAAAAAAATTTTATTTAAATTTTTTTTTTTCAACTTCCTGAAGCTTTTAAAGCTACCACATTGAGTCTTTGGAGCACCCCTCAATTTAAACAATGTCAGCGCACATCTCCAATTGAGTGTGACAACCATGCAGACTATGGGCATAACTCAAAGCAGAAGACAGAAAATGCCCTTGGAACACCAGATATCTATAAAAAAATAAAATAAAATAAAATGTCAACATTTGAAAAAAGTCTATAATTAGATCTACTGCTCTCCTCTGCTGTCACCTGAAATGAAACACTCGTTTGTTCTCACACATCCCCACTTTACTGTGACTGACAGAGCTGTTTTTCAGTACTTTTATTAACACGGGGGAAACAAAGCTCATCCATGTCCCTCTGCAGAGATATGCAGAAACATTTGCCCACATTTAGTAAAACATTAATGTCAACAGTTAAGGTTTTAACTATTTGAGGGCTAATGTTAGCATTAGCCACTGTGTAGCAAACTCTGGAGGTCCACGACAAATCCTCTGACATAAGAGAGGACATAGCAGAGTGTGTGAATGATTGTTGACCTTGTTCCCAGGAGGTGGGGCTTTCCGTTTTTGAACAAAACATAACTTCTTCTGTTCATCTCAACATGATTGAGGCTAGTAGACTTTACATCCATCAAGAATAAATGAATTCTACAAGATTAAAATATGTTTGGAAAAGAAATATTAATGAATTGAGTAATAAACACTAACTGTATATTTGTAAACATGACATTCATAGACAAACATAGAGATTGACATACATCCCCGCCCACCTCAGCACATGGAACGGTATTGCTTTTGATCAGTCCTGTCTAATGTTCAAATTTAGTAAGTAATTGCCTCAGCTCCTTATTGCTTTTGCTGCTCAGGCGATGCATGCGGTAGAACGTGATGTTTTTTAATGGACTCAGATGGCAGCTTTAAGGAGTCCTTCAGTTAAAATTAAAAATTTTTAAACCTTGCTCTGAGTTGTCCGGATTGCTTTCTTTAAAACTGGTAAAGATCAGGTTGTCGCTCATGCGACATGTCTAAATGTCGAGGACAGTTTTATTTTCCTCAATGACTTTTGCATTGCAATTCATTGTGAGTTGTTCATTGTCCCTCCACAGTTTTGTTTTTGGTTTAACTCCAGAATTGTTTGTTGTATTAAATCCATTGTTTGTAGCTTCCCATTTAGTTAATATATTAGGAAGAATATTATTGGAAGTAGTAGTGGCGCTACTGGTAAAGTCAGCGAATCACCAAAGCCAGTAGGAATTATCTTGTGGGGACCATAGATATACAACATTTCATGGAAATTAATCCAATAGTTGTTAAAATATTTCAATCTGGACCAAAGTAGTGGATCGACCATCTGAGAGACTTATAATGACATCCCTAGTGCCACGCCACCAGCATGGCAATGGTTTTTAATAGCAAGTTATAATCATACAGCAATTGTACAGAATATCCTTAAATTTCTTGTAATATTATGCATTTTTTTCCCCCTGTATCCAGGGCTTAGTGATTGAACGAATCGGCAGAAAGCCCCTCCTCATATTTGGTTTCTCTGCCATGGCCGTCTTCTTCAGCCTACTTACAGTGTTCCTTAATTTCCAGGTAAGTCAATGTTCCTCCTCTTCACTGAACTCATAGTGTGAGTGGAAAGGTGTCGCAATGCATGTAGGTGCTCTGTACTGCGGCCCAATTATACTGTGAACAAATTGCCATGAGAATTCCTCCTCTGAAGGAATGAGGTTTACATACATCACTACTGCAACATATAACATCCGCATCTTATGTTTGTCACATTCAGCCTCTGAGACTGAAAATATTGAACCTCATTTTGTGCAACACTCTAAATTATCAATACCTTGCTTTATAAGCGCTGATCAGCAGAATTTGCCAGAGACAAAGACAAAAAAAAAGGAAATAAGATATAGGATGTAGCTGTTAATTACTAATTTTTCACAATATGTTTGCTGGGATATTCCTGCTCAGAAGTAAATTGTCATAACATAATGATTATGGTTATTGCAATATTACCTCTCTCACTCTTTTATACCAGCACAGCGCGTCATGGATGCCCTACCTCAGTTACATCTGTATACTGGCTGTGATTGCGTCCTTTTGCTCTGGGCCAGGTAAAACCACTGACCTACATTACTGGCTGAGATTTTCTTCCTATTTTCTTCTTTCCTTTTCAGTTTTACAACCTTTCCTTTGTGCTCCACTTCACTTGAAACTGCACTTTAAACAGATTGAATAAATACTCTGCAGGTATTTGGCTGTAATTCAGTGAGGTAGTTGTTGAATAATAAATGTGAGTAACCCAACCCTTTTTAAAACTGGGAAAAGGACACAGAGCTGTATCTGCAATGCTTTAAGCAACTGGAATAATCCACTAACTAGTTTGTGAGTAATTAGAATCACAGTCAAAGGTGTTGTCATAGATAAGCATACTCAATAGGAGCTATACAGTATATGTACAGTATATATATGGCATGGTACTGCAAATGCACTGGGGACCGTGTGAGTGGTCTTGGTGGGAGGCTGACTTTGAGTTTCAAGGTGAGGCTATTGCTGTCAGCACATATATACATCCTGTCTGAATAATAATATCTCCAGGGGGCGTTAATCCAACTAAGTGTCTCAGTGCATCAGGATGAGATGAGAACAGCAGAGAAGTAGAAAGTGTGGGAAAATGGAGGTCCTTCACAATTATCACAAAGAGAATACTAGAGGAAGAGCATTTGATTTTCCTAACTCCGAGACCATGTTATTTAATAAAGAGAAGAAATACAAGACATAAATGCAGGCTGCACAGTGCTGCTACTGTCCCCTGTCACAGCTGTAGCTTTTGATTGTTCAGTACCCTGCTCAGGTGCACTTCTGTGATAATTGTTGAGGGAGGAGAAATCTTTTCTCTTTCATTTCCACTTAAACAAATAAAGCCCCTCGCTGCTCAGGAATGGTGAATTACTGGAAGTGAAAGAGACAAACATTCACCTGAGGGCTGACCCCAGTAGTGCTTTGAGCTTGTGACTGGTTAAGTGAGGAGCCGCAAGTCCTCTCAAGTCATTTCACCATGGAAACAGTGGACCAGATATTTCAAAGTTTGATAAAAGCACAAAGATAATGCGGATCTATGAATGTTTTTGATATGATGAATTAATGGTCATAGCTGCAGTGTCTTTGTAACAGTTATTGCTTATCAAATCAGACACTGAATATTTCATACCTTGTCATTTGTAAAATGTTTTGTTTGAAATATCTTGGTATATATTAACCTGCAACTATGCCTTTCCATCTACCTGCCCATTCTGAAGGGATATGATTATATGTGTGTTGAACTACAAATAACCAGAGAGATAAAACACAGTCAATATTGTATGAGATTAGTCACGTTGTGATAGAGATCTCTGTAAACAACCAGTGAACTGTAACAATGTTTAGAGATGGCAATCTCACTTTCCAATTGCAGGCAGATCCCACATTTTTAGCACAGTATCCAGGATAGGTGTCGCAACCCGGCTGGATTCATTACAAAAAAAGAGGGAGATGCAGGCTGAAGACAAATAAGTAATAAATAAAGAGGATAATAGTAAACACAAAATCTTAAATCTTAAATCTTGCTTTCAGTTGGAAAAAATAAAGTTCATACACTCCTGTTTCTTTTCTTAGGTATCTATGACTTACAATGTTTCTATCTTTCCATTCTCCCTGCCTTTCTTCCTTCCTTCCTGTCCTTTTTGACACTCTCAAACAACCTGTCATCCCCCTGTCTGCACAGCTGCTCCTTCAGGTCTCTTATATATAGAGAACACATTTTCTACTCGTGTTTACCAGATCGTCCATGTTGCCTCATTGCGGTAGTGCTCCATCAATTTCTGTTACTGATATCCCTGATCTGTTGCTGATGTCCTATCAGTCCCTATCAGTAGCTTGGTTTCTGAACAAAGTACATTACCTTTTACTACCACTACCACAAGTACCATTGTCCCTGGTATCTCCAATTACCTGCTGAGCAGTTGAAATTGAGAACTTAAAATGAAGTCAGTCCTTGATTCTATAGTGGAAACATGAATAGTGCAGGGAGAGGTACACTGCAGCCTGTGGTCTGTGAGGGCTCTTACTCTCACTGTGAAGAGCAGCTGTAATCACAAACCCAAACCTGATGTGCACCCTAGTTTGTTCTAAAGTGGTCTTTTTAAAGAATCTCCTTGTGTGAAATATTAACCTTAATGTATTTTGTCTGTTTTGGCATTGTGCACTCTAAGTATACTCTATGGTGGTTGTCTCGTATGATACCAGTGGCTTTGATTAGTGTAGTATCCTCATGACTTGTATTGTATATAATTTTACCAATCCAGCCTACGGTGCTCCAAAACAAGTAAGAGGTACATAATATTTGTTAAATTTGAACATACTAATTTCAGGAATGGTTAGGGTTAGAGTTGATGGTGGTGATGGAATATTTCAGTAGAGCCTGTATGAAACTCAATCAATACATTGGAAGAGCACCATCGCCAGTTTACCACCCTCAAACTAGAAGTCATAGTGTGTGTGTGTGAGTGTGTGCTTGATTCTGCAAAACTGCTGATTGAAAAAAATAAAGAGTTGCAAAAAAGGCCCATCATAACTATCAGCTGCTAGTGCCTTGAATTAGTCTTTGGTAACAAATTTCTTCTGTTGTCCACTGTATATTACACACAGTTGAGATTTGCTTTTATCAAACTCCCTTCCATTTGTCTTGGGGAGCTGCACACTGAGGTAAATGAGGTTTTAGATCAAGGTAGTGGTTCTTTATCAGTTTCCCTGATAGCAATGTTCCAGAAATAAATGTTGTAAGGACAAACAACCATTTTGGCATCTGTTTTAATTTTTTCTCTGTCTCCGCTCCCTCCTTTGAAGAGCAAAACCAATATTACATTTTTTCTCCTTTAACACAATTTCGCGAGCATCGCGGATGCCTTTGGACCCATAACTGTCCACTTTGTCACCAACTGAGATAATTATAGGCTGGAGTGAGATAGGTTAGATTAAATCATTGATGCTTATAGGTGTAATTTAATGCAAGTTGTTGCACTTCGTTGTACCCAGATCTGCAGCAGAGACAGGGAATTAATTTTGGCTTCTGTGAAAGCTTGTTGTTGATTTGAATCAGCCACAGTAAAAGTAAAAGTAAAAAGCTTGTGTTTAGGTTTGATACCACAGAGCGTGTGCTTGATTTTAATGCAGGAATATACAAACATTAAGTGAAATGTGGAGCTTCCACTGACCTGTTTTGAACAAACTAAACAGTGCTAGTTTGTATGTTTATACTTTAACACATAGATGATGAATGATGCTGTCTCACTGAACAAACACCTCTCAGGTCAGGTATTATCTGTCTTTTAAGATAAAGTATGTCCACTACAATAGAGTCGAGTTCAGTACAATAGAGCAGGGTTGGAATATGGTGGTTATTTTTTCTTTGTTATTCCAGTTTGCATGTATTTCTTTTGAATGAAAGTCTGATTGGGCCAGGAGTGCACAGCATATTTTCTCCTTTCTCTGTGAATGTTCATAGTACGCAGTGAACCCACACACACAGCTACTTACTTTACAATTAGCTTATGTGAATAGAGATTCTTTCAGGCCTTAATTTCAGACATTCTGAAATGTGCCTCATGAAAAGAATGAATGAAAGAATAAATACTTTCTTTTCATACCCATTCCAAGTAGGGCTGAAAGATTAATTGCGATTAGCTAATCGTGAAGATGGTGATTTAAAATGTAGGTTAATTATACAGCACATCTGACCTGTTTTAAACATGCAGTTGCAAATTCATTCCGTTGTCATCCTAGTGTGACAGACCTGCTTGCTAATCACAAGCGCCATGCGTCTCCTGTTATGGTCCTACTTACCAATCAGAACGGGCACAGGGCGTGCATATTTTACGACAACAAAATGAGGAAAACGTGGGATAATGGCGTCAGGCGAACAGACAGAGACGGCGGCTATGCCACGGTTTTGTTCTAAACTTTAAACAAATAAATAATTGCAATATCTGGCAGAAAAATGGCAGTTAGATTTTTTCCCCCAAATCATTCAGCCCTACTTCCAAGTGTTGCAATAAAAACTCTCCCACACTGGGTGAATTTCAGCGTGTCGGATTCATTCAGAAATACATCATTATTAACTGTTTCATAGTATACTGTGTTAAATTTATCAGCATAAATAACAGTTGTGGGATGAGGCACAAAAAATAAACGATTAAAATCATAAAGAATAAAGCTGTTCAATAAAGCATTTTCATTATCAACAAATCCAGTGAAAAGCCAAAACTAACAATAAATGTATCATATTAACAGGTATTGCTTGTGTGGCTTATTCCTCTGTCCACTGTTAATAATAAAGCAATAAAAAACACATCAAAGCCACATCATACACTGGGTGACATCTTCCTTCATTACACTGCAGTCGCAGTGTTGTTTCAGAATAAACTACACTCACTGTGGCACCAAAATGAAAGCAAATGGCTCTTTAATGAGTTTTTAAAGAGCTTTTAGATTACTTTGGGTTTGCTGCTTGGATATTTGAGGCTTTGACTGTACAGCACTACTTGATGGGATATACACTCACCGGCCACTTTTTTAAGTACACCTGTTCAATTGCTTGTAAACACAAAAAGCTAAACAGCCAATCACGTGGCAGCCAACTGAATGCATTTAGGCTTGTAGACGTAGACAAGACCAGTGGTTCTCAAACTTTTTCTTGTCAAGGACCCCTAAACTGACCACTGACCCCTCCCATCTTAGGATAAGAACATTTTGTGACCCAGTGTTACTTAATGGACTGAGGAGCCCACTTTGAGAACCACTGGTCAAGACAACTTGCTGAAGTTAAAACTGAGCATCAGAATTGGTAAGAAAGGGGATTTAAGTGACTTTGAACGTGGCATGGTTGTTGGTGCCAGATGCGCTGGTGTGAGTATTTCAATAACTGCTGATCCACTGGGATTTTCATGCACAACCATCTCTAGGGTTTTCAGAAAATGGTCCGAAAAAGAGAAAAAATCCAGAGAACTGCTGCTGTGTAGACGAAAATGCCTTGTTGATGTCAGAGGTCAGAGGAAAATGGGCAGACTGGGTCGAGATG